TCAGTGAGAAGCCACCTCGGCAGGTCTGGGTCAGCCCAGAGGAGGGGCCAGAGACACCTTCCTCTCCGTGGCACCATCCCCACCCTCCCGCTCCCCAGCCTGGACAACGCTTCCATTGTTGCAGTGTTGCATTGGAAGATTCTCAGCAACAAAATTTCAAATCTATGAAGAGAAAAATACTATCTAAAAAGTTATTTTTATACCCACATCGGAAAAACTACATTTCCAAGACTCTCTTGAAACTAGATGGCTGTGTGATGCCAACTGACCAATGAGAGGTAAGCAGATGCCAACCAGGGGGTGCCAGAGATTGGCATCACCACTTATTTCTTGTTTCTTTCCTCCTGCCTGGAACACCAACCTAATGGCAGGGGCCACGAAGCCACCTGGCAACCAAGAGGGAAAGGCCAGGGACCTGCAGGCCTGGCCCTGGCACCCTTGAGCTCAGAGTTGATGCCAGGCTGCGCCTGCCTAGAAAGAACTTGCATCAGTGTGTGGCAATGTGGTTACACAGCAGGGCTGGCCCCTGACACAGACAGCCAGTCAAGTCTAGAGAGACAAACTGGTCAAAAAGTACCTCCTGAAGAAAATATGGATTTATATTTGAATCTTCCATTCTAACTTTTAGTCAGTTGTTTTTTTTTTAAGTATGTTCCTGTTTAGAACATCAAAAATTCTAGAGAAAGAACAGAAACCTGTCCTCTGAATGCTGGGCAGGCAGGCAACCTTCTGAGATGGCCACAGGTTACCCTGCCCTGACAACACCATCTTCATGTTCACTCCAGGCCTCCGGATGCCACCTGCTTGCCCTCTCCTGGCAGAGCCCATATCACCTGCTGGTCCTGGCTTTTCCTTTGCTAAGCTGTGTTGTGATTTTGGATGCTAAATTTGACTGCACAGCTTTCTGTGCCAGATGGAGATGCACAGCATGACATGAGCCTGCGGTCTAACCCAAGGGAGTTGCCCCAACAGAGCGAGTCTGTGGGTCTGGCACCCTCGTCCTTCGGGCTCAGCAGTGAATCAGAGCAGGTTCTGCCTGGCTGTAAGAGACAAGTGTTTCTCCCCTCGGGTAGGGCGCAGGCACGGTCAGCTCCCAGGAGTGGACTCAGCTGCCCTGACCTCTCTTCTCAGCACACAGGCAATCGGTCACTTGTCAGGCCTGCCCATCCCCCAGACCAACCTGGCCCCAGTGTGGGGCTGCACTCAGGGCTTGGGGGCAGTGTCAGCTGTAGCGCCAGGCACGGGTGCTGAGCCAGCCTAGGGTGAGGGGCTACCACCTGGAGGTAACCCCCAGCAGCAAATGCCCTCTCATCCACCTCAGTGCTTGGTCTGCCTGGTGGGCTCCCTGCCTCACCTAGCACCACCTCTGATGGACAGCGGACAGCTAAGGCAGGTGCCAGCCCTTACCCTCCAGCCTTTCTCCACTGTTCACGGGCACTGAATGGTCAGGACAGACAGGCCCCTGCCTTTACAGCTGTCTAGAAGGAAAAGCAGCGTCACACACAGACACTTTGGGCCAAGGAAAGCCAGGCCTGGCCACCTCCAGAGCCTAGCAGGAGCTGAATGGCCAGAGCCCCAAGGGGTGTCCTGGAGGTGGAGAGGAAGGCAGGGAGGGTGGTAGGGTACCCAGCGGGAGGTGCGGGGACAAGGACACGTGGGGAGCCTGAAGGGGATGAGTCCCCCTCTGCCCCCATAAGTTGGGCTCAGAGACCACCTGCACCCAGCCCCGTGAGAGCAGCTCGATGCTGCATGTCTCCCTTGAGTCAGCGGCTCACTGAGGAGGGATGAGGCCTCATCAGGAACACCAAGCCTGGTGCTCAGCGGTGGAATGAGAGAACCAGATCACTAAGAAGGATGGGCTGGGCCGGGCGCGGTGGCTCACGCCTGTAATCCCAGCACTTTGGGAGGCCGAGGCGGGCGGATCACAAGGTCAGGAGATCAGACCATCTCGCTAACACGGGTGAAACCCCGTCTCTACCTAAAGATACAAAAAGTACGTAGCCGGCGCTGGCTGGCCGGGCGCCTCGTAGTCCCAGCTACTCAGGAGGCTGAGCAGGAATGGCCGTGACGCCCCGCGGCGGAGCCTTGCAGTGAGCTGAGCTCCCAGCCACTGCAACCTCGCAGCCTGGGCCACAGAGCAGTCTCAGCTGTCAAAAAAAGAAAAGAAACAAAAAAAAACAAGAAAACGAGGATGGGCTGTGACAGTAACCTCCCGGGGAGTGGAAGGGGAGGAGGCCAGCCTGTGACTTCCCTGCTCACAGCTGGAGGCTGGAGAATGTCCAGTCTTACTCCAGGAGAATCGGCTGGACCCACATCTAAATGTCTTCAACTTCTCTCCAGGGTGCTGACATCACTGCCCAGGTCATTAACAGATGGGCAGACGCCTGTCGCCTCATCCCTGAAGGCGCAGGACATCCACACGGCCAGCAGAGCTGACCAGGGCGGGCCCCCTGGCAACACCCTGGGCTCGTCTGGACTCTAATAAGCTTCTAAGGTCCCCTTCAAGGGTGTTAGAAGGGAAAAGACTTAGAATGTGCATTTTTAAAAATTGAGGTGAACTTCACATAAGAGTAACCATTTAAAAATAAGCAATTCAGTGGCATTTAGTACAGTCACAATGTTGTGCAACCACCACCTCGTTCTAGTTCCCAAACGCTGTCATCACCCCAAATAAAACCTTAGTCCTCTTCCCTACAGCCTGGGCCACCACCTGGAGTGTGTTTGGTCCTTGGAGGACATTCCATATTGTTGTTGGGAATGATTAAATAATTGCTGCTTTTCTGCAGTTACCATTGTACTTTGAGCAAAAGTTTCATAAGTTTTCAGAGTATATTATCTGGGTTGACTGGATCCAATTTTAGTTTTTGAGTTTCTTTTTTGAACAACTGTAACAATTTTAAAGATTAATATGTCCTGACTTTTGTTCTTTATTAGAGGTCTTCCAAAGAACAAAGATACATGTATTTTAAAAATAGAATAAAATTTATCCTGTCTTACAGTGATCATATGAGTCCATTTAACCCATATATAAATCTAAGATACATTCATCTTAGTGATTTTATTTAGTTTTTTAAATCTTGGAACATTTTGCTATTTTATCATCCTAAAAACGATTTCAAAGTTCATCATTAAGGATTCTCAGCTTTGCCACGAAGACTAAAATAATATGAAAACAGAAGGATGATGGAACACAGAGAAAGATAACGTGATGCAGAAATCAGCCTTCTTTGGTATTACCCTCCAGTTTTCTTGTTGCCAAAGTTCTATTCAAGAAGATGCATCTGAAGAAATGGAGATAGTGAGGGCTGTTTTGTCTTTAATTAAATACAGTGGGGGGTTCAGAAGTTTCCATCTTCTTTCCATAGTGGCAAAGAGAAGACAACTGACAGAGAAAGAGGTTTCACAATTTTAGATGAGTTGGAAGATAATTTCCAGGGGAGATCAGTGCCTTCCCCTGTGATAATGGAAATGGCTTCATATCTGCTGTCCCAGCCACATGTGGCTACTGAGCTCTGAAAATGTGGTTGGTGTGACCAAGAAGCTAAGATTTTAATTTTACTTAATTTTAATTGATAAAAGTTTAAATTTAAATAACTATATATGGCTAATAGCTACCATACTGAATAGCAAAATTCTTGACTCTAATACTTAAAGTGAAAATGATCATATAAATGAAAGCTCAGCAGAGAAATGGAACTATAAAAAGAACCAAAGAGAAATGTTTGATCTGCAAAATATAATACCGGAAATAAAAAATACATTTAATAGGCTTAATAGCAAAATGAACGCTCGCAGAGAAAAGGACGGATAAGCTTAGAGACTGGTCAGCGGAAATTATCCAAAATGAAGCAGCAATGAGAAAACTGAACAAAGGACCAACGGCCTGTGGTACAGCATCAAGCAGTCTAAAATACATGCAGTTTGAGTTCCACCCAGAGAGGAGAGAGAGAAGACTCAGAGAAAGTATTTGAAGAAATAATGGCCAAAAGTTTATCAAATTTGATGAAAATGATGAATCCACATTTGTTCTTGTTGGAGTAGAGCTGGGGGGAGTTTATAAAAAACTTCAGAGATGATGCTTACTTGGGAGATGACTTTTCTAAGTTGATGGTCTCATTATAAATCAACTTAGATATAAATTTAAATTTCCCCCAGATTTTCTCCCAAATTTCCAACAATTCTAAAAAAGCTTTTTAAAAACAAAATAAATTTCATGAGAGGATTGTGACCATTTTTTAACCTTTTGTTCAGGCCCAGAGTCTGCCTCCCTTGTCCATCCTCCCAGGACATGTCTCTGAGCTACAAAGGGGACACATTCTCCCTCATGAGAGGTGACGCTGCAGGAAAGACTGGAGGCCACAGACTCACCCGTGTTCGTTCAGCGTCACTGAATACAAGTTCCACTTGCGGGAATGGGTTAGAACATCTGTCTTTAAGTAGTAACACAGTTAATGAGCAAGCAGGACAAGGAAGAATAGATTGTGTCCTCTGTGTAATAGAGAATTTTAGGAGGAAAAGTTTTCAAGAAAACAAGAAGAAATAATCTCCTAGATCCTATGTTATATTCAGAGAAAGAGGACCTTTGTTCTGAACCAAAGCTCTATCAGGTAGAGGAACACTTGGATCCTCACAAGAAATGACAAAGCAAAGGGAGGCAGGAGCATGGTGGTCGCGTTAAGGACTCTCCCTGGAGAATAACAGAGCCAGGCAAGGGGACTGGTGTCATCTCTTTCCACGAGCAGCCTGGGACAACAAGGAGCCAGGGTTTGCACCTCGGACAGGCACACTCGCAGGTGAGCACCTGGCTCACCTAATGCACCTGTGTCGAGCAGGTGCCTCTCGCCTCTGCCTGAGGTCTGAAGGCAATGGTGCAGCTTTCACCAGGACAAAGGGTTAACCCAAGTTACCCCTTTTCCTCTTGTGGCCACAGCCTCCACCAGGGTCCCAGCAGGTGCCAGGGGGCCTCTCACCCTCGCTTTGTAACAGCAGCCACCACTTGCCTGCAAAGTAGTCCTTCACCTTCAGGTAGCCCACGATCAGCCTGAGGACGGACAGCTTGTCCAGCCGTGCACGCACGTCCTCGGGGAAGGGTAACAGGTTGGTGAGTCGGCTCAGCTCTTGATTCAGTCGGTCCCGGTGCCTTTTGGAAGGGTTGGTCTTGGCTCCCTCTGGAGGCAGTGGCTTAGGACTTGGGGGAGAGAGAAGAATGATCATGGCCCCACTTTCCACTGCCATTTCACTCCTGCATCACCCCAGGGGTTCCAACACCATGCCCCGCACTATGCAGCCCAAATCCCTGGTGTTCAGAGGCTGAATCCCTCATCCTGTAGTCTCAGGCTCTGCTCATCCACGATGCCCCACCACTCCTCTGCCCTCACCCCTTTCCTCATCTGTTGGCTGGGGCCCCACTGGGCCCTGGGCACCTAGAAGGCTCCTTCACACCCAAGCACGAGGGTTAGACCTGGCAGCCCTCAAAGTATCAGGGCCGGCCCACTTTCCCTCCCATTTGCCCCTGGCCCAGTGCATTTGCATCCACATGTAATTTTTAAATGAGAAAATCTCTGTATCACAATTAACACTGACCAAACTGAAACTCCATTTAGGAAAGTATAATTTATTGGGAATTGAGCATATGCACATGCACACACAGAGAGAGAGATACTTAACATGTACCTATGTGTGTGCTTTCTCTTTTCTTCTCTGTGTATAAAATACACACACATACACACGCTTATGGACACAGAGACATAATCTCTTTCCATATATACATACGTAAGCACATATAAATTCTCTGTGTGTGTGTCCATCCATCTCTACAATCTTCCATCATCAACATGCAGGGAAGAATGATTCCTGGGAGGCTGTAGTCACCACTCATCTATCTTTATTCTTACAGGCTTCTCCTCTGGGTTTCACATTCAAAAGTTTCCACATTTCCCACGGATGAAACCAAAGTTTTCATGTGTAGCTTTGAAAGAATATCTGGAGGCTCTGTGTTCCCAGTGCCCCGACCCTCATCCCTCAAAGCCCAGCAGGACCGGGTCCACCAGTTACGATTTCAGACACTCATGAGCAGTTAGTTCACCCAAGTAGCACGACTGAAGCTATTTCTACTGCCTCACCTCCAAAGCAAAACACAGTAGCACTCCCTAGAGGACAGAAGGAAGTTTAAAACATGATAAGCAGCAAAATATAATTTTTTAGAAGGCCAGGTTGGGTGTGGCGGTTCACGCCTGTAATCCCAGCACTTTGGGAGGCAGGAGTTCACCTGAGATCAGGAATTCAAGACCAGCCTGACCAACATGCTGAAATCCCGTCACTACTAAAAATACAAAAATTATCTGGGTGTGGTGGCACATGCCTGTAACCCCAGCTACTCCGGAGGCTGAGGTGAGCCTGGCAGGCGGAGGTTGCAGGGAGCTGAGATCTCGCCGCTGCACTTAAGCCTGGGTGACAGAGCAAGACTCTACCCCAAAAAAAAAAAAAAAAAGAAAAGAAAAGAAAAAAGAAGCCAAACATAAATAATACAGATGCTGGCCGGGCACGGTGGCTCAAGCCTGTAATCCCAGCACTTTGGGAGGCCGAGACGGGCGGATCACGAGGTCAGGAGATCGAGACCATCCTGGCTAACATGGTGAAACCTCATCTCTACCCAAAATACAAAAAATTAGCTGAGCTTGGTGGCAGGCGCCTGTAGTCCCAGCTACTCAGGAGGCTGAGGCAGGAGAATGGCGGGAACCCAGGGAGGCGGAGCTTGCAGTGAGCTGAGATCCGGCCACTGCACTCCAGCCTGGGCGACAGAGCGAGACTCCGTCTCAAAAAAAAAAGAATACAGATGCTGTACTCAACTTTATCTAGATAGATAGATAGTAAGCAAAAATAATGAATGAAGTTGTTTCTGCCTCATTTATAAAACACACTGACAGCCTCCGTCTCTCAGGGCTGCTACGCAAGAAACATCCAGCCTGGCTCGGGACACAGTACCTCAATGCCTGTACACCTTTGGTAACAGGATGTTAAAATGGGGGTCTCCAACTGAGCTGACAAAACTCCTGGGTGTGAGTGTAACAAAAGGAATTTCAAGAACCAATTTGGCAACTCTAGACCCCATACTCAGGAGGATAGAAAAAGGGGTGGGAAAGGATTTTGTGAAGAAATTTCCTTGGAAAAGAGCTGTACTTTTATTCCATCTCTACTAGTGCTCCCCGCAAAAGAAGCTGGAGAGTCACAGAGCCCTGGGGTCTGACTTCGTCCTAGCAGAGGGATAGGCTCTTCTGACAGTAGATCACAGGGACAGACCTTGTTGGTGAGAGAGCCCTGCAGAGCTATCTTAGGTCCTACCCAGAAGGGTGTGAGGAGACATCCAACATTCCTGTGACAAGAAAGAGGCATCCTCCTACTTTCCTGGAGACCTGTGTGTGTGTGTGTGTGTGTGTGTGTGTGTGTGTGTGTGTGTGTGTGGAGAGAGAAAATGTCCAATGCTCTTTCAAAGAAGGTAACAAAATCCAGACAGTGTAACATTGCCAATGTTCATCATCCAACCCAAAAGCACTAGACATGACAGGAAGCCAGAAAATGTGACTTGTAATGAAAAAAAATCAATCAAATCAAACTCAGAAATGACAGAGGTGATGCAACAGACAAACACTTCAAAGCACTTTTTACAACTATGCTGGAGAATTTAAAGCAACACATGAACATAGTGAGGAGAGAAAAGAAAGTTATTAATCAGATTGAACTTATGGAGATAAAAAACACAATATCTGAAAATAAAAGTTTGTGAAATGAGCTTGATAACAGACTAGACTCTACAGAAGGAAAGATTAGTCAACTTGAAGACTAGCATGGAAATTATCCAAACTGAAGCACAGGAACAGAAAAGGCTTATAAAAGGTAAATAGAGCCTCAACGACCTTTGAACTATATTAAGCTGTCTAATATACATGTAATTTAAGTTGCAGAAAGGCGAAGGGGCAAAAAATTTTCCACAAAGTAATGGCTGAAAAATTTCCAAATTTGACTAAGCCCAAATTACGAGGAAGGAAGTAAATAACAGAAACAAAAGCAGAGCAATAAAATATAATGGGCAAACATAAAAGAAATCAGCCAAACTAAGGTTTGAAAATATCAATAAAATCAATAATCATTTAGCTGGAATAATCAGTCCTGTCCCCCCAAAAGAGAAAGTGCAAATTACCAATAGAAATTAAAGAAGAGAAATAACTAAATCCTATAGGTATTAACAGAGAAAATTTCACATACTTGGAACATGGCAAGATTTCTTATGTCACAAAAGCACCAAGTATAACAGAAAAAAAATTGGTAAGCTGGACTTCAAACAAATTAAGAGACTGAAAACACAAGCCATGGTCTGGGAGAAAATATCTGCTGTTTCTCTCTCTCTCTCTCGCTCTCTCTCTCTATCTATCTATCTACCTACCTATCTATGTTTGACAAAGGAATTGTATCCAGACTATATAAAATACTTTTACAAACCAATTATAAATGAGCAAATAATTTGAACAGACACTTTGCTAAAGAAGATATAGTAATGGCCAAAAAGCACATGATATCATAGTCAACATCATAATTCATTAGAGAAATGCGAATTAAAATAAGATACCTGTACACACATATTAGAATGGATAAAGTGAAAAAGATGGGCACCACAAATGTTGGAGGGTATCTGGAGTGACTGGAACTCTCATCCACTGGAAAACTATTTCACAGGTTTTAAAAATGTTAACCTTGATCAGCTATTCCACTCCTAGGTACAGTAGTCCCTCCTCATATGTCCCAAGACCCTCAGTAGATGTCTGAACTTTGGATAGTAACAAACTCTATATGTACTATGTTTTTTCCTATACAGTTGCATTGTATAGGGCAATATACATAGTATATTAGTGTATACATAGTATACATAGTACAATATACATAGTACAATAGTGTATACAGCGTGGAGATGCCAGATAAAGAGACGAGTCACATCCTGGGTAGGACACAGCAGGACAGCACGAAATTTCATCATGCTACTCAGAACAGTGCACAATGTAAAACTTATGAATTGATTTTTCATTTCATATTTTTGGACTGTGGTTGATGGAGGGTAACTGAAACTGTGGAAAGTGAAATCTTAAATAAGGAGAGACTAGTGTACTTATTGGAATGAAACGAAAACATATGTGTACAAAAAGCCTTATACAGAAGTATAGTCTTTTATTCACAATAACCAAAACCTGGAATCCACCCCAATATCTGCCTACAGAAGAACAGCTAAAGGAAAAAAACCCTGGTAGATTCATAAAACATACTACTGTTTGGCCATGAAAAGAACCAAACTACTGAAACATGCAACAACATGGATGTCTCTTAATCGTGAAAGAAGCCAGACACAAAAAGTACACACTGTACGATTCCACTTAAGGTAAATTCTAGATTAGGCAAAACTAACCTATGGTGCTAGAAATCAGACCACAGGCAATGGTGGCAGGGCAGGAAACAACAAATGTTCTACATCTTGGTATCTTTTCATTAAATTGACCGAATGGTTTACTTAAGATCTGACCATTTCTCTCTATGTAAATTATATCTGAAAAATGATAAACAAGAAAAAAATTAAAAAATTCTTCCCACAAAGAATACCCTAGGCTCAGATTTTTTTTTTTTTTTTTTTTTTTCAGAGATGGAGTTTCGCTCTTGTTGCCCAGGCTGGAGTGCAATGGCATGATCTCAAGCAATTCTCCTGTCTCAGCTTCCTGAGTAGCTGGAATTACAGGCACCAATAATCACGCCCAGCTAATTTTTGTATTTTTGGTAGAGAGTTGCGAGGGGTATCTGGAGTGACTGGAACTCTCATCCACTGGAAAACTATTTCACAGGTTTTAAAAATGTTAACCTTGATCAGCTATTCCACTCCTAGGTACAGTAGTCCCTCCTCATATGTCCCAAGACCCTCAGTAGATGTCTGAACTTTGGATAGTAACAAAACTCATATGTACTTATGTTTTTTCCTATACAGTTGCATTGTATAGGGGAATATACATAGTATATTAGTGTATACATAGGTAGTACATAGTACAATATACATAGTACAATAGTGATATACAGCGTGGAGATGCCAGATAAAGAGACGAGTCACATCCTGGGTAGGACACAGCAGGGACAGCACGAAATTTCATCATGCTACTC